GACTCTGTATGCATCCTGTAGTAAAAAAAACATCTGGGATGCATACTGATTAAGTGTTTTAAAGTTTAAATGTGATGAGGACCAATATTTCTCTAGTATGGAAATCAAATTAGTGGTCTTGGTGTAACCCCTTAACCTGGGGGAAAATATATATTTTAAAAACCCTTAAGTCAGTGTAACCTCCAATAAGTCTCTTGGAACAAGTTGGAAAGATCTGAAATTATTTAACATGATACATGCATATGCATATACATCATCAAGAGGGAGGCATGGAGAAGTTCTGATTCAGACACTGATAAATCTATCTTGCTGCAGGAGACTATTATTTTTATCATGTCAGAAATCTGAATTCCTTTGCATTCACATAAGCACTATCTCACCTCAAACTGTCTTGCCTATTCCAGATATGCCACAGGTTTTGTGAGCTCAGCCAAAAGTACATAAGCAACAGGGAGATATTAAGCTCAAGATAAGCAGCTATATAATTGTCAGAACTGCTGTCACCCATGAACTCAACATAGTTTCCTTCTTATGTAAAGTTTGAGAATGCTGTTTGAGCAGCACAATGATGCAAAGTACCTGGCAAGTACAAAAATGGTGTTCCTAAATAAGGGGGTAAACATTTTGATGGAAACAGAAGCTACCAAGATTGAAAAATGACAAGCAGTTCAAATGTTTGGCAGGATACACAGTTATACCACCTCTATGTGACATGAACAAAAGTTCTAAATTTCTCCTCTAGATAATTTTATTATTGTTTTATTTTATTATTGTTTGTTAGGACCACTGAATCAATGCAACTTCGGAAGATGCTAACTTCCCAAGTTTGTTTTGTCTCAGTTGGTCTACTCTAGTTGGGACTAAGAACTAGAATTATGCCAACAAGAATAATAAGGAGACCTACATAAATGCTGACATACAAGAGACACAGCTCTTATCTTCCATTCCAATATGCTAACTTTTTTTACAAAGAGTTTTGCTTTTGAAAAAAAACAAACAAACCAAAAAACCCTCAATTGCTTTGAAATAGGAAACTTCCCAGATACATGCTTGAAATGATAATGTCATGAGGATATGGATCAAATGCCAAAGTGAAATCTTTTATAGCGAAAGTGGGCTAAAAATTAGGTGCTGAAATGTACGAGTTTTATTTCATTTGTTTTTATCCCAGCTTTCTCTCAATATAGGTTCCCAAGACAGCTCTCTCTCTCTCTCTCTCTCCACACACACACATCAACTAAATATAATTATCAGCTAAAGATTAAAAGCAGCACGTAACATTTCAAAGAGAGAGAAACACCAACTTCTACTAACACAAAAAAGCAGCAAAACAGAACAAAGGATAGTTGTGTTTTGGGACAATTCACTATAGTGTAATACCAAATGACAGCAAATCTACTGTGGTTTTCTTCCTCTTATTTGCAGCTTCATCGTGCTTGCTGTTTCTACTCCCTCAACAGATTATAAAATGAGTATTAAATAGGAAAGAGTATGTCACAAAATGAAAAGGTGTAGAAACATCATTAAAATAGAAACCCCCCAAATTCTATCTAATCATAGATGGAAGAAT